CTTGATTTTGACTCAAGTCATGATCTCACAGTACAGGAGTTCAAGCCCCATGCTGGGCTCTGTGCTGACAGTGCAGAGCCTGCTTGGGATTCTCTGTCTCCCTCTTTCTCTGCCCCTCCCCCACTCACAAGTACACATGCACGTGCGCACACACACTCTCTCAAAATAAATAAACTTAAAAAAATCATTTAAATTATCATGGTTCCATACAAATACTGAGATTTTGTTCTATTTCTAAAAAATGTGCCACTGGGATTTTGATAGGGATTGCACTGAATCTACAGATGGTCTGGAGAAATATGGATATCTTAACAATATTAATCCATGAACACAGGATATTTTTCCATTTATTTGTGTCTTTAATTTCTTTCACCAATGTCTTATATATAATTTTCAGTGTATAGCTCTTTCATGTCCTTGGTTAAACTTATTCCTAAGTATTTTCTTGCTTTCGATACTATAAATTGAATTATTTTATTCCTTTTTCAGATATCTCACTGTTAGTACTTAGAAACACAACTAACCCCAATTAGCCAAAGCAATCTTGAGAAAGAAGAACAAAGATGGAGGCATCACACTTCCTGATTTCAAACTATATTACAAAGTCAAAACCAAAACAGTATGGTACTTGCATAAAAACTGACACAGAAACCAATGGAAAAGAACTGAGAGCCCAGACATAAATAGTTAAATATACAGCCAACTAATATTTAACAAAGGAGCCAAAAACACTCAATGGGGAAAAAATACAGTCTCCAATAAATGGTGTTGGGAAAACTGGGTAATCACATGTAAAAGGAACTATACCCCTATTTTATATCACTCACAAATTTTATATGAATTAAGTGGATCAAAGACTCAAATATAAGACTTAAGCCATAAAACTCCTAGAAGAAAGCATAGGGGAAAAGCTCCTTGACCTTGGTCTTGAGGGCAATGGGTTTTCTGTATATGACACCAAAAAAGAAAAAAGAAAAAAAAAGGGGGGGGGCAATAAAAGCAAACATAAATGAGACTATATCAAACTAAAAAGCTTTGGCACAGCAAAAGAAAATCAACAAAATTTTAAAAACCCATGGAATAGAAAATATTTGTAAACCAGGGCACCCTGGGTGGTTCAGTCTACTGAGCATCTGACTCTTGATTTTGGCTCAGGTCATGATCTCACAGTTAGTGGGATCCAGCCCCACATCAGACTCTGAGCTCACAGCACTTAAAAAAAAGTGCTTAAAACTTAAAAAAAAAAAAAAAAAAAAAAGAAAGAAAGAAAGAGAGAGAAAGAAAATATTTATAAACCATTTATCTGTAAAAGGTTAATATCCAAAATATATAGTAGTTCTCCTTTATCTGGTTTCAGTTACTTGTGGCCAACCACAGTCTAGAAGCAGATGATCCTTCTTCTGAGGTATTTTCAGGTGGTCAACAGTAGCCTAACCTGATGTCAGGCCTTCATCCTTTACCTCACTTCATCTCATCACAGAGGCATTTTATCATCTCAAGTCATTGTTAAGAAGAGGGAGTACAGTACAATAAAATATTTCAAGAGACCATGTTCACATAACTTTTATTACAGTATATTGTTATAATTGTTCTATTTTATTATTGATTGATTATATATAATCTCTTACTGTGCCTAATTTATAAATTAAACTTTATCGTAGGTATGTACAAAAAGAAACATAGTTTATATAGGATTCAGTGCTATCTGCAGTATTTACAGGAAGAAACATAATTTATATAGGATTCAGTACTATCTGCAGTTTTAAGCATCCACTGGAAGTCTTGGAATGTATTCTCAGCGGAAAAGGAAGACTACTACATACGGAACTCTTACACCTCAACAGCAAAAAAAAACCCAAACAACTGAAGTTAAACACAGGCAGAGGATCCGAACAGACATTTTTCTGAAGACGACACACAGGTGGCCAAAAAGCATATGGAAAAATGTTCAGCATCACTAACCATCAGGGAAATGCAAACCAAAACCACAATGAGATACTGCCTACGGGGATGGCTATTATCAAAAAGACAAGAGATCACAAGTATTAGTGACGATTTGAGAAAAGAGAATCCTTGTGTACTGGTGGCAGCCACTATGGAAAACAATATAGGGGTTACCCCCAAAATTAAACATAAAATTACCATATGATCCAGAAATTCCACTTCTGAGGATATATCAAAAAAAAAAAAAATCACTATCTCAAAAAGATATCTCCACTGCTGTGTTCATTACACCATTATTCACAAGAGCCTAGATATGAAAATAATCTAAGTGTCCACCTTCAAACAAATGGATAAAGAGGTGAGACAGACAGACAGACAGACAGACACACACACACACACACACACACACACACACACACACACACACACATTATTCAGCCATGATAAAAAAAGGAAATCCTACCATTTGCAACAACATAGACGGACCTTGAGGGCCTTATGCCACATGAAATAAGTCATACAGGGAAAGACAAATACTATATGATCTCACTTACATGTGGAATTTTAAAAAGCCTACCTCATAGAGGCAGAATAGAACAGTAGCTGTCAGGAGCTGGGGAGTGAAGGAAAAGTGTAGATGTTGGTCAAAGGGTACAACCTTGTACTTGTAAGATAAGTTCTGGGGATGTAATGTACAGCATGATGTAACAGCATTATCTAACAATAATGTATTATATACTTGAAAATTACTAAAAGAGTAGATTTTAAATGTTCTTACCACAACAGAAATGGTAATTATCTGAGGTAATAAAGGTGTTAACTAACCCTATTGTGGTAATCATTTCACAATACATAGTATATCAAAGAATCACATTGTATATGTTACATTTAACCAATGTTATACATCAGTTATATCTCAATAAAGCTGGAAAAAAAAATTTATCTATTTGTAGGAGATAGTGATGAACAGGTAAATATATCCAGCAATGGTCCCTATCCAACAAGAGTTGACAACCTAAAGAAGACAACACTAATACAGGCAACATTTAAGAAAGGAAAAATACACATGACTTTATCAACATTAAAGTTACACATGAATTCAATAAAGTATTTACATTATGCTTCCTCCACTTCTCTTTCCTTTTCATGTGCTCTCCAAGAATTTGGAAGGTGAAAAGCAGCCAAAATGAAGTTATTTAGGGTTAGAAATCTTTCTCCCAAATCTTGAATCATTTTGTGATTCTCCTCTGAACCCATTCCAAGGGAATGAAGGAATGCTGGAGCTGACCTGAGAGTGGGAGGAAGGGGGCGGGGAGTGCAGAGAGCACAGGGTGACGAAATGAACCTAGCTCCATGTTTCCACCACAGACACAGTGCCAAGTTTGACCAATGCTTCCTCCGAAGGCTCTACTGCTTCCGGAAGTCCCTGCCTGTTATTATGGCTTCCTGCTGGGGGTGCAGAGGACAGTGGTCATGGCATGCACCTTTTCATTATTCTCTCCCCTCAGTAGTGCCAAAATCTTTAGGGTCTAATAAGCATATTATTTCCACCCAAGTGGGCCTTCCATTCCCTATGCAAAGGCTTCAGCAGACCATACCACACCAAAGAGAGATTTACATTTTAAATGATCAAATATTTCAACCATATGCCAGTGTGATTTACATGAATACCTACCTTTTTAAGTTGGTCCTGTCACCACTATCTGAACTTGCCACAGACGAAGTATCATAGGAGTGGGAATCAATAGTATCAATGTTTAACAATGTAGGGTCCTCCAGAACAAAAGACTCCTCTTCATCATCAGTCTAAATTGGAAGAATATGGATCAATAAACTCACAATTCCAAATACCCTGTAAGTCAGACAAGCATAAATGTGTTCTCTAAAATGCTCACATGCTTATTTCTGCTTTTCATCTCTTTTCCAAGCATTGTTATTGACTAGAGAAGCATAGAAAATTAATTTCCAAATCTAGATAGATATCTGTCTCTACAAAGAGTTCGCTCCAAAAATCTCTTCCTTGTAGCAGGAAGCAGCAGAAGCAGTTATGCAAATTATTGTTAGCAGCAAAACACTTCTTAAATTCAAACCCGTAAATAAGCTTTACTAGTTAACTAACAGCCAGTAGCTAATTAGAAGAAAACAAATACCACCTGATTACAAATAGTATCCCATGAGAAATAGGACAAACAAAAGAAAAGCATTCTGGGTTAGGAAAACCATAAGGGACCCTTAAAAACTGAGAATAAACTGAGGGTTGATGGGGGGGTGGGAGGGAGGGGAAAGTCGGTGATGGGCATTGAGGAGGGCACCTGTTGGGATGAGCACGGGGTGTTGTATGGAAACCAATTTGACAATAAATTTCATATTAAAACAAAAAAACAAAACAAAAAACAAAAAAAATAAAATAAAAAATAAAAGTGTGGAAGAAAAAAAAAGAAAGAGCATCTGCAAACACAGTGATTTCATAAGGTGAATTTTACTCCTAGAAAAGGAAGAAGTCCCAAATGACTGGAATATTATGAGGAGTTAGAGTGATCCTAGAAAGATAAGCTAGGACCAAATTATAAAAAGCTTTATATTCCATGAGCAAGTGACAGCAGGGCCTATGTCCTCCTTGTCTACCACTATATCCCTACTGCCCAGTACAATGCCTGGCATATAATTACTACTCATTTACTGAATTAGTGTACTGTATAGACAATAGGAAGGAAACCGAGATGTTTAAGAAGTAGGCACACATGATGGGACCAACGTTTTATAAAGATAAATGGGGCAGCAGGAAGATGGATGAGTGTAGTCAGGGAAACTGAGACAAAGAAACTATTAAGAACCTGTAACAAGGTAGGGGCACCTGGGTGGCTCAGTTGGTTAAACATCTGACTTCAGCTGAAGTCATAATCTCGTGTCTTGTGGGTTCGAGCCCCACATCGGGCTCTGTGCTGACAGTTCAGTACCTGGAGCCTGCTTCAGATTCTGTATCTCCCTCTCTCTCTGCCCCTCCCCTACCCCCACGCACATGCACGCACTCTTTCTCTCTCAAAAATAAAAAATAATTTAAAAGGAACCAGTAACAAAGCTATTGCAGTGTCAAGGGAAAAGAAAGAGGAGGGTGCCTGGGTGGCTCAGTCCATTAAGCATCCAACTTCAGCTCAGGTCCTGATCTCATGGCTGGTCAGTTCGAGCCCCACGTTGGGCTCTGGACTGACAGCTCAGAGCCTGGAGCCTGTTTCAGATTCTGTGGCTCCCTCTCTCTCTGCCTCTGCCCCACTCATACTCTGTTTATCTCTCAAAAATAAATAATAAACATTAAAAAAAATTTTTTTAAAGGCGGGGAGTGGAGCTTAAGAATTTGTCAGAAGAGGTCAAGAGAAGGAATAATGAAAGAGACATTACTGCGAAAACCCAAAGTCCCTGGCTACCATTTTTTTTTTTTAACGTTTATTTATTTTTGAGAGAGTACACAAGCAGAGGAGGGTCAGAGAGAGGGGGAGACGCAGAATCTGAAACAGGCTCCAGGCTCTGAGCTGTCAGTACAGAGCCCAATGCAGGGCTTGAACTCATGAACTGTGAGATCATGACCTGAGCCAAAGTTGGACGCTTAACGGACTGAGCCACCCAGGTGCCCCCCCTCCCCACTACTATTTAATGGCAGGGGATGGGAGGTGGGGATGTCAGGGAGAAATCAAAGAGGACTCCAAGGTTTCTAGCTTGAACAACTAGGCAAAAGGTAATACTTCTGAGATAAAAAGCAGAATAGCAGATAAAGCAGAATGAGGAGTTCAGCTTTGAACAGGTTGATTCTGAGCAACAGACATTAAAGAAAAATGTTCTGATCATACTCCTCTTTCAGCTGGACTACGTTCTGCCTTACCATTTCCATTAAAACTCATTATCTCCACTTTCTCCACCATTGCTAGCCACTACTACCTTTGCTGAAGTTACCAGCCAAATTCACAGGCCTATTTTCAGGTAACGTGTCCTTGTCCCCTTGGCATCATTTAACACTACAACCATTCCCTCCCTACTTCTTGGAACTTTCTCTTCCCTTGGCTTCCAGTGCATCCCTTTTCTGCTACTCCTCCCAACTTACGAGGCCTCTTCTACCAGTCATGTTCTCTATTTTCTACTCAGCCAAACCTTTAAATCATGCTATTCCCTGGGATTATATTCTTAGCTCTCTTCCTACTTCACACACTTTCTATATGAGCAAGCTAATCCATACTTATAGCTTGAAGTACTATGTCATGCTAATGACTCCAAAATCTGCATCTTCAGTATCAACATTTCTCTTGAGGTTCAGGCCCATATTGCCAACTGCTTTTCATATATCTACACACATACACACACACCTGCTAAGAACAAGATTAGAACCACAAGGAGAGACGGTCTCTTGAGAGCCGGACAGAGGTGGGACAACTGCCTTAGGAAAGGAAAGGAAAGAACTCAAAAATTAGAACTGCAGCACCAAGAAGCAAGAGGGCTAATCAGAATCTTACCTGATTTTCTTAAGCACCCTGAGGATGTAATTAAAGAAAACAGATCCATTAAATGAAGCCAGGGTTGAAGACTTACAAAATACATGAAAGAAAAAATGAAAGAAGAGAACTGAGCTTATCAATAAGGCTGAATTTAAAACTACTAGCTACACAGCAGAGATATTAATTTTCCCACACTGATGCATAAAATCTACATAATCCTTTCAAATTTCATTGTGTGTGTGTCTGTGTGTCTGTATGTGTAAACTAATAAAGTGATTCTAAAATTTACATGATGCAGAAGACCAAGAATAAGCAAGGCAACCTTGAAGAACAACACCAAAGATTTGAAACTACTAGTTATCAAGACCTATCATAACAAACATTAGAATGTGGTATTAGGGCAAGTATAAAAGACCAATGGAATCAGACCCACACAAAAATGATCACCTGATTTAAAACAAAAGTGACACCACACAAAAGAGTATTTTTTTTCAGTAAATGGTGCTGGCTCATACCTCACACCATCACACACAAAAAATTCCAGATGAATCACAGACCAAAGTTGAAAAGGTAGAACAATAAAGATATTAAAACAAGATAGTATCATCATGACCTCAGAATTTTCAAAATTTTCTCAAAACAAGACACACAAAAACACTAACCATAACAGAAAACCAAAATAAGCTGAACTACATTAAGAACTTCTGCTCATCAAAAGAAACCATTAAAAGAGTGAAAAAGTAACCCACAGAATGGAAGAAGATATTTGTAATACATATACCTAATAAAGGGCCTATATACATCACATGTAAAGAACTCCTACAGGGTGCCTGGGTGGCTCAGTCGTTTAAGCATCTGACTCTTGGTTTCAGCTCAGATCATGAGTTTACGGTTTCAAGAGTTCGAGCCCCACATCAGGCTCTGCATTGGCAGGGTAAGGCCTGCTTGGGATTCTCTCTCTTTCCTTCGCTCTCTTCCCCTCCCCTGTTCATGCTGCCTGTCTCTCTCAACATAAACAAACTTTAAAAAAATTTTTAAAAAGAACTCCTGTAAGCTTAAAAAAAAAAAGTGAGCAAAAGACATGAAAAGGCAATTCACAAAAGAGATATCCAAAAGCCCAAAACCTATGTCAAAATACCCAATTTCATCAGTCTTCAAAGAGAGAAATTCAGATTAAAACAATGATGTGATACCACTGTACATGGATACAGTGAAAAAGAGAAAATTCAAAAGTTGATGAGGCTATGGTATTCAGCACTCTCATATACTGCTGCTGGAAGTATGTATTATTCCAACCACTCTAAAAAAACCTAAGGCGGGGCACTCAGCTCAGTGGGCTGAGTGTCCGAATTCGGCTCCGGTCATGACCTCACAGTTTGTTAGTTAGAGGCCCACATTGGGCTCGCTGCTGTCAGCACAGAGGCCACTTCAGATCCTCTGTCTCTCTCTCTCTGCCCTTCCCCCACTTGCACTCTCTTTCTCTCTCTCTCTCTCAAAAAGAAATAAACATAAAAACAATACCTGCGGCAATATCTACTGAAGCTGAATATACCTGTATCTGACGACCTAGAAATTCTATTCCTAAGTATATAACAGAAATGTGTGTGTATATATATGTGTGTATAAAATTTTTTTTTTTATTTAGCATTTATTTATTTTTGAGACAGAGAGAGACAAAGCATGAATGGGGGAGGGCCAGAGAGAGGGAGACACAGAATCTGAAACAGGCTCCAGGCTCTGAGCTGTCAGCACAGAGCCCGACGCGGGGCTTGAACTCACGGACCGCGAGATCATGACCTGGGCCGAAGTCGGCCGCTCAACCGACTGAGCCACCCAGGCGCCCCTATATGTGTGTATAAACATACCTAAAGACATGAATAAGAATATTCACAGCAACTTTTCATAGTAGCCAGAAATCAGATATTATACAAATGCCCATCAAAAGTAGAATGAACAATGGTATACACATAATATAAAGAGTTTTATGTATGGGAATGAATAATTACATACAAAAATATGAGTGAATCTAATAAAATATGGAGGAAAACAGATCAGACACACAAAAGCACATACTGTATAATTCCATTTATATGAAGTTCAAAGCAGGCAAGCTGATCAATGCTAGAAGTTAGAACTGTGATTATCCTCGGCTTAGGTACTCAAGGGGCACAAGAAGAGGTTCTGGGGTGTTAGTGATGTTTTATTTCTTCATCTGGATTCTAGCTGCACAGGGTATTCAATTTGTGAAAATTCACCAAACTATACACTTACAATTTGTGCACTTTTTCTATATATATGTTACACTTCAATAAAAAGTTCAAAATAAATTTCTGGCTGCACAGTAGTAATGAAGTGAAGCAGGAATTTCCCAGACTGGAAGACCAGGAAGGATGAAGAGACTTGGTCCTGATTAGGCCAAAGAACAGGTTTAACGGAAGAAAAAGGTGGGGAGGTGGGGAGGTGGGCAGGCGGCTATGGTGAAAGAATGGAATTTCACAATTAAAAACCTCAGAGGTAGCACAGTTTCAAATAATGACAAGGCCTAGTAACATTATTTCATACCCTAAATTCTGAGATTTAGGATATCTCAATAATCTCTAACTTTCCATCCTATAACATATCTTGGATGCCCATTTCTTCCCAGCTTCTCTTCAGGTTGACATTAATGAACATTACTGAATATGTACACCCACATATCACATATCCTGGAGCAAGTGCTTACTTACACTTTGCATTTTTGCCCTTTCCATTTTGTCCTTTTCTAAAATAATTTTAATACTTTCTCCCCCTGTAGCTTTCATAATGTTCTACAACTTAAATTTTATTTTTACTTTCACTTATCCACCTGCCTAGCTCCTTGGAGGTGTGAAGGCTAGCCAAATTGCAGTCCTATGTCTCTCCCAAAGTCAGAGACAGTCATACAACATTTTATAATCCTGGCATCTAACATTATGACCCAAATACCTGAGGCACCCAAATTACTACTGAGGATGATAACAGTATTATCTTTTCAGTAAGCCACTAATGACTGTACTTACTGTTACTTATAGATAAGTAAATTGTGCAAAGATGGTTTTTCTTCATTATGAACCTGTTTCATTCATGAGCATTTTCTTCACCATTTGTGCACAAATATGATTAAATATGGCTTTATACACAACGTTCTAATATTACTTTTATTTCACACTTAGTGAAATGAGGATGTGATTAAGATGTTAACAAAAATGACTAAGATTACGCTCTTCATCTCTAAATGAAAGATTTCCTATTAGAAAGCAATAAATATCACTGTAATTGGTTAATCTTTCATTTATTAAAGCCTTGTCAAAATTTAAAATGTTTAAGTCTTAGCACAGATCATACATTTTTGAAGTTAAAATATATTCAAAGTAACAGCAATATCAAACTGATGCAAAAAATAGATACCAAAGTCATACAAGAAAAATAAAAGATACAATTCACAGAGAAAGTAGTTCACATCCTACAAAGTGTTGCCTATAACCCCAAAAGTATAGGTAAAAAAGTAACAAAAACCAAGACTCAACTTATTCAAAGCTATGGGATCAGTGGGCATTTCTTTTGGGGAACCTATGCACCGTTATCTTTTAGAAAACTATGGATCTGAAGTAGATTAACACACTTAAAAAATCTTTCTTGTATTAGAACCTAAAACCTCCAAGAGGAGTCTTAAGCAAGTTTTTAAAAGATCAAGAAGACAGAGTTAAAGAACTGTCAGCAGACACAAGGTACATAAAAACTCACATACTTCACCAACATGTTACTGACACCAAGCTCCTTTATAAAGTCTTTATGATCCGCTAATTCAGAAAGTAACATCATTTCAAAACTCTGACAAACTTTTAGCAAAGATGGCACCCATAAGACAAACTGTGCAAGTTTTGTTTTCTTTACACAGAAGAGTGATGAGGTGCATTTCAAGGCTGCAGCTGCTCTCTACTATCAGAGGATGGGTTGAGTATCACTCATAGAGAGGACATTATCGAAACATTATACAAAGCTCCAGAGTGACACGAATTTAGTATTTTAGCTTGCTTCATAAAACATTTTTTCAAATCTACCAAGTATGAGGCATTGTACTTGGCACAGGCATGAAAAGACACGGCTTCTGCCCTTGAGAAGTTCATAATCTAGGTGAGCACTGTCCAACAGAACTTTCTGCAACAATGGAAATATTCTGTATCTGTTCTGTCCACCTTAGTAGCCACTAGCCACATGGGGCAACTGAGCACCTAAAATACACCTTGCACAACTGAGAGATTGAATTTTTCATTTTTATTGAACTATAATTAATTTAAATCTAAATTGCTCCATGTGACTAGTGACTCCCATACTGGACAGTGCAGATCTAGATACATACACTATAATTAATCCAAAAGCATTAAAATCAATTCCATAAAATGACAATGATCATTAATACATACTTACCTCATTGAGTATGCTTTCCAGTGTTGGAGGCGTATCAACTTGAGGAATATCAAATTCCTTGTCATCAATCTAAATAGAGAAAAGAAACTAATGCTCATATAATGCTGCTCTCCCTCTTAGAATTGTGGGAGTGCTTTAATTTATTAGAACCATTACCAATTAAAGAGATAAACATACCAACAAACTGATCATGCAGAGCACCAACCCAATAATCCACATTAATAAGGTCAAAAGACTACAGAATTGTTTCCTCTCCTATCCACATATTCAGTGGTTATTAAAAACAAATATGCAGTAACTGCAACATCCTGACAGCCCTTTCCAGAAAGCTTCTGTTCAAGGATTCAGGCATCTGCATTCTTAAATAGTATAAAACAGCATGTCTTATGACAAGCCCCAATTTTCTAAGTGTAAAAAGCAATATACAGAGCAATGTACAACATCATAAGCAATATACAAAGGTCTGACATTGCATTTCTTTTTTTAGTATATGTGCTGCCGAAGCGAGCACTGACATTGCATTTCTTAGTTATTTCATAAATTATGGTGAGAAATGATTAGGTCAAACAAATTGCCATTAAATATTCTCCTGGTCACAAAAACTTATTAATATCAAATCAATGGGAGGAAAGTCACTTCATAAGATTTCTAAACCTACCACTAGCTCTGTGACCTTGAGCATCTAGTTAACATAGTCAGCTGTACTTCAGTTTCTTCCTCTATGAAGTGGCTTATCAGAGTGTGTGAAGCTCGAATGAGAACATATGTTAAAAGTGTTTCATAAATGGTAAATGTACACAAATGAAGACTGATATGATCTCATAAACCTGTTCATAGATTTCTACTAATTCATGTGAAAATGATAAAAAGTCTTTAGGTTCTAACTCTAACCAACGTTCTGGTTATATAACATCATTTGACAAAAGTTGAATTTTTACCAGATCATTTTTGAACTCCAGTTCCTTGTCCAGATCTATGTAAGAAAATTTTGAAAGCGAAGCTTCAAGATTGAAAGACTTATTCAGTTCTTCTTCTGTAGTCTTGGCACAAAGGCTCTGTTCCACATTTTCATGGTCTGGTTCGTTTTCCATAGTTACTTATAATAATTGTAGTTCAGTCAATCCAAGCAAGTTTTTGTTTGTTTTGTTTTGATTTTTGGCCTTAGATCATGATGACCTGAATGATCTGATCTCTTTTTAAAAAGAAAAAATATACATCATTTAGATTTCATCAATTGGACATTTCAAAGACGTACTTGGTTAGACTTGTATGGAAATGGATTCTTCATTCAATCACCTGACTGTGAAGCAAAGAGAAATCAATCCTAGGGTTTGAGGTATGATACTGGGGAAGAGCTTCTATGGAAGCACAGAGGAGACATATCTCACTACGGAGTCTGGGAAGGGGTCCACCACCCAAAGTCATTAAGTCTGGTGATAGTGATAGACTTGGGATAAGTTCAACCACTAGACTTGGGACCAAACAGATTTATGTTTTAAGAGAATAAGGGTAAATTGGTGCCAAGAACTGCAATTAACCCCCCCCACCTTACACTCCTAAACCCCACAAATCTCCAGTTCCCCTGGAGAAAAGCATACACATCAGTTTTGTTGTTGGCATCCATCAACAGTTGGCTTAACCAACTGAGCCACCCAGGTACCCCAATAAATAAGCTTTTTAAAAAAATAAAATAGAGTTGAAAATTAGTTGCTGTTATTGTTTTTTTTAATGCCTAAAATTCACTGACAATTTTATCCAACGAGGCTCATTGTTTTTTAGTACTGACGATGAATTTCACTTTGTTCCAACTTTCATTTTTATCAGATTAAAAGAAACGAGTAACTACTATATGTAAGACATGTAGAGTCATGAAGACAGATTTTTCAAGAGCTGAAACCAATTTTTCTTGCTAGTACATTTGGTATATTACCAAATACAGACTAATTTCTTTCACATGTTACAGAAGATAGACTAAAGCTCTGTTCTACAAACACATGATATCAAATACATTCCTAGAAGACATAAGTGAGGGCACTCTGTATCTGGCAACATTTGAAAGTAGCTTTCCAATCTCAGGTACTAAACATATTTCCCCTTTTGCAATGAGCCAAGGGCAGAAGCAATATTAACAATAATATGACTTTCTTCGAAGAGTACTGAATTGACTCATGACAAATTCCTTGTTAATAAGGTTCTCTCGTATTTGCTCCACTTAGGAAGAATGATTACAATTAGTCAAGGAATGTTCGCAAACATGCACAATCTAATACACATTCAGTGATTCCTGAGGACAGTTATTAAGTTTTATCCTTACACATTAAAAAAAAGAATGGAAAAGACCACAATAGCCCCCCCCCCAAAAAAACACTTTTATTTAAATGATTTAATAACCTAAAATATTTCACTCTTCACATTCGTCTTTCTAAAACAACTCACAAAGGAAAACAATTTTTTTTCTGGCTCTTTTTTTATATCTCCTATCTGGTATTAGTTAAGAGGTTCTCAGGGCAGCTCAGCATCTATGAACACCAATACCACATTCAAGAAGTTTCAAGTGATCAAGCATCCCATAAACAAAGAGTACCATCTTGCCATGCTACCCTACTCCACTTTCAACCTTCACTTCACCAAGTTCCTATTATTGTGATATGCTGGCAAAGTGGAAAGAACATAAGCCAAACAGTCCATTAAAATCAGGTTTGACTTTGGGCTTTACCAGCTCCAATCTGTGACCCTGGCTAATTTGTCTACCCTTTCTGAGCCACTCTATTTCTATATCTTGGAAGATGAAATATCGTGGCCATATATGTTTTTGCCCATAACAGCACCTCTTGTTGGAGGAAGGGCTCCTTCAAACCATGTGGTTCTTGTGGAGGCTGCCAATCAAAACTCCCCTAGTAACAGAGACTGCATAATGCAGCCAGAGTGCTTCAGGGGGATTCATTAAAATGGAACCAGTGAGGAAAAGCTGCTTCCACTGTGTTCTAAACAATGAATAGTAAGGCTGAGCAGCACCCCCACCCTACACCCCACCCTGTTCTGCAGAAAAGGAGGTCATTGATTCAATACATATCAACTAAACACATACTATAAATGCCACTGGAGATCCACCACTACAGACTCAATTTACATCCTAGAAACAGATTCTCTAACAATAATAAAATCAACCTACAAAAAGAACCAGAGAAGATGAGGAAGGGGTGTCCTGATACCACTCAGGCCCCCTTATTCCAGTCTTGTATGATGTTCGCTCTAGCCACAGTCTTCTGGTGGTTTGGCTCTGTAAGCCAGCATACTCTCCCAACTCTTTTTTTTTTTTTTTTTTTTTTTTTAACTTACATTGGAGAGTCCTGACTTTTAGGAATGCAGCTACCTATTTTGCAGAGCTACTGTGAGGAATATATTAGATTATGACTATAAAGCATTTAGAATAATGCCTGGACACAGAATAGGTTTTCAAGAAATACTAGCTATTATCATTTAAAATTTCTTCAAGATTTCCAAATTCTTCCAGAGCTAAACATCCTGAAACAATATCCAGTACTTCTGTAACAGTCTGGCCAGTGTTAAGCTTATCATAAGGATACCTTACTGGAAGTGTACACTTACTTCTGCTCTCAGAAGTTTCTTTATGAGCTTAATGTTAAGGGTTTTATCTAAGACTAGTACAGCCCCCAGTAAAGCATCAGAGACCCTTCAGGAAAAACGTTTAATTATTATAATAATTGTCATATACTACTAATTCATTCTACAACTGTGCTTTTAGGGGTGTCTAGGTGGCTCAGCTGGTTGAATATCCGACTCGTGATTTCAGCTCAGGTCATGATCTCAGAGTCCTAGGATTAAGCCCCACATCAGGCTCTGTGTAGAGTGTAGAGCCTGCTTGGGATTCTCTCTCTCTCCCTCTGCCCCTCTCCCCAGCTCACACTCACTTGCAGGCTCGCTCTCTCTCTCAAATAAATAAATAAATAAATAAATAAATAAATAAATAAATCTATGCTTTTACATCAACTTCCTCTTTTATCAGTTACCAGCAATTACACTTTTATGTTAGTGAGCAAATTTATGCAACCCAAATAGACCTAGGAAACAAAAGGTCACCATGCTCAGATTTTCTTTAAAAAAGGAGTCCAATTTTTTAGAAATTGAGCTGTGCTTGAATCTACCTGCGGTAAGTAAATTACCCAGTGATGTCTGTCCTGATCTCCAGAACCTATGACTCTGTTACCTTACATGTCCAAAGGAACTTCACAGAGGTGATAAAATGAAGATCTTGACTTGGGGAGATTATCCAGGATGAGCAACGTTGGCTCAATGAGGGTCTTAAAAAGTGGAAGAGGGAGGCAGAAGAGTGTGTCAGAGAAAGAGATAAGACAATAAAAGCAGGGTCACAGAGACGTTGTGTTGCAGGCTTTGAAGGAGGAGGGAGGATGCCAGCAGTCAAAGAATTTAGGCAGTCTCTAGAAGCTGCAGAAGGCAGAAATGGATTCTCTCCCAGAGCCTCTAGAAGGACCCCAGCCCTGCACAGCTTGATCTTGGCCTAGTAAGAGCAGTGCTGCTCTCGTGAACTAAAGAACTGTAAAATGATAAATCTGTGTTTTAAGCTACATTTAGGGTAATTTGTTACAGCAGGAATAAGAAATGAATACCCTATCCAGGTGCCTGGGTGGCTCAGTTGGATACGCAGCTGACTTCGGTTCAGGTCATGATCTCACAATTTATGGGTTCAAGCCCTGCATCGGGCTCTGTGCTGACAGTTCAGAGCCTGGAGCCTGCTTCTGATTCTGTATCTCCCTCTCTCTCTGCTCTTCCCCCACTCCTGCTCTGTCTCTCTCTCTCTCAAAATTAAATAAACATTTAAAAATTAAAAAAAAGAGGGGCGCCTGGGTGGCTCAGTCGGTTAAGCATCCCACTTCGGCTCAGGTCATGATCTCACAGTTCGTGGGTTCGAACCCCACGTCGGGCTCTGTGCTGACAGCTCAGAGCCTGGAGCCTATTTCAGATTCTGTGTCTCCCTCTCTCTCTGCCCCTCCCCTGTTCATGCTCTGTCTCTGTCTCAAGAATAAATAAACACTAAAAAAAATTTTTTTTTTCATAAAGAGAAAAAAGAAAGAAAGAAATGAATACTATCAAACTTCAACTATTTTGTTTCTGGTCACATTGCCAATATTCTGAAATACTAATCCCTCCCTCATGAGTGTGTGTGCCCAAATATTTATTGAGCAAGCTCTTCATTCCAATATGCAGACCAATGATGAAATGCTTAATATATGACGCTTCCTATTACACATGATGCAGACACTGCCTACAGATATCACTTAAGTGATATTCCAGTACTACTGATAATTTCCTTTCAAGACTAAATTCTACAACTAGCTTTCCACCCAACCATCCTGCTATCTAGTGTTTCTATAGCTCTTAAGGAGATGCCAAGTCAGACAGTACCTGCAGACAACACAATAGGTAAAATCAATTGTTTCTTAGTCTCTCCCAGAATGAAGTCACATTACTCTGACAGGAAATATCATAAAATCATGATTACCCAGTATGCTGTCATCTTCTGAGTCCTGATAAACTAACATTTTAATAGTTCTGATTTAAGATTATCTGACATCTTGACAGTTCTCAAGGCTATTCCCTCTTAATAAGGTTATTCCCTACCAAGTAATAATAGATTCAAGGATCATTTAAAAATAAATATATGTATCATATAAACAGCAATGACCCCATTTCAACCCTGGTTAACTGAATAAGAACTCTAGAATGTAACCTATATTAGGCAGGGTGACTATGAAACTCTTTGACCAGTTTTTTTTTGTTGTCACGGTTTTGTTTTCACCTTGGCAGACCTTCCCAACTGTTTTCAAATTCCAGGATCCTATTTAATTCACTGACATTCCTTTCCTCCTAAAAGTGTCATATGAGACACTTTTCACATTATGATGAAATCGAATCAAGTTCTGTTTTCTTTTTATAACTTACTGTAGCCCCAGAAAGGTATCACGAAATCATGGTATGGAAACAATTTTACATTCCAACTTTGTTTCCAGCTTTCCCAATCTAAGTATTTCTCTTCTTCCATGGCTTTGTT